GCCCGGCGGAGCGGCCCCGCCCCCTGCTGGGGGGCGTTCAGGGGTGGTGGCGCGGTTGGTGCTGCGTTGCGGGTGGAGCGTTGCCCGGCTCCATCAGGCGCAGCCGCCTCGGGCACGGTCAAGGCAGCGGGGCAGACACCGGGCTTTCCAGGCCCCACTGCTCCTGCCGGGGTTATTTATTTGACCCCGAGGTCTCTTCCAGCCCCAAGCTGCAGCGAATCTGTGATGACCCCGTCGGCGGCGATCCCGGAGCCAAGTGCTGGGGCGTGTCGTGATGCAAGGCCTGCAGAGCCGGGGGGGATTTTGCAAGTTTCTGCCCTTCCCAGCTCCCCATCTAGGGGCAGTTGCATCTGTGTGGGGCTGGGCCCAGCTCTGGGCCCAGGTGAAGAACGGGAGCCAGTTAGGGTTAGGTAGAGCAAATTGGCAGACCTTAAAACATGAAGAGCCAGCTACACGGTCAAACTTTAAATACCGAAGGCAGCTTCTGCCCCTTCCTATTAAGTTACTTCTTTGCATCTGGCAGTGATTTGAGGACTAGGCTTCAAGGGTTAAGCTCTTGCCTTGTAGGCCATGACGTGGGGTCTTGCCAGGCTCAGTCAATTGCTTTTTTTCCACTGGAAACTTCTGGTTTACATGGAAACCACCTGAAATGTATCGACTGGATAGGCCAAGATGAGGATAAAATGTACCTACTTAATCAGCTGTGGGAAAGGTAGCACAAAACTATAGGTTAGCCCTCAGGTGGGGCTAAGTAATAACAAAAGGTCTAATTTGTAGCATCCAAGCTTTCCTCAGCTTTGGCTTCTTCCTAGACAAAGGTCCCTCTTGGTCCGTGTGCTGGTCCAGATGATTTCTTGAGGACCGTATCCTTTCTACTGGGCTGAATACTGGTGCAGGGATGAAGTAAGCCAAGACAATCTAATTGTTGTATCTAAAACTGCTGCTAGTTTGGGGCCAGGAGGCAATGCTCCTGGGTTTCTGGCATGTCACGTGTTCCCTTTATATCTCTTCATCTGTAAAATTAGGATAATTTGTTCTTGATGCTGTCTTATTTACATTCACCTCTACTCTCTGAAAGCAGTATAGCTGCTGAGATATTTGTCCATTGTATTTACAGCAAGAGCACTAGGTGATTATCTGTTGTCTCACTCTGCTTTTTGAGCAGGTACTTTGGAATTCTTTCTGTACTTGCCATTAATTTCCAGGTGTTTCTGGTATCCACTTTAAAGTCCTAAGTGGAAATGGATTACTTAAACAACTCCTAGTCTCAGTGATGACTTCTAAAATGTACTTGGAATGTTTAAAAATGATAGATGCCAAATTATAGATGCCATTTTCGTAATTAAAAATGTTTCATCCAACATGAAAAATTCTATTTTGACATGCATCTACACAGATGAATGAAAGTGGTCAGAGAATTCAAAGTTAATGGCTATTTAGGAGCAAATGATCATTGCTTTATTCCATTTATTGTGCATAATCATAATAAATACCCAAACCAGCAAGGTATATACTGGTGCTTCAAAAAGGCAAATATCACCCATTTGAAAACAATTTTGAGCTAGATAAGCCATGAACAAGAATTTGAACAGATATACTTGACTGATCATTTAAAATAAAGAGCTAGATGTTCAGTAGTTACAATCTAGAAAGAATGCTATGTTCATTAAAAGATACCTGACTTACAGGAAAAGAAATAGAAAAACAAGGCAAAGATTTCTCTCTCATTTTATAAAACGCATTTTCTATTTTTATGAGATTACAAATTTGTTTGATGAACTTTACGTGTACTTGGGCCAGTTCCATACTACAAGGTTTTCCTGGCACAGGAATGTTGCATGAAACTAAAAGTGACATCTCCTAATTGACAAAACTAAGTCAGTAAAACCCTTGATACAGATGTAACTATGCCTACAAAAGAGTGCTTATGTTGGCTTGACTTATTGGATGTACACATGAAGAAGGTATAGATATGTTAGCAGAAAACCTCCGTGTCCTCAAGGTGGCTCGGCAGACAGAGCTATGCTGGCACAGCTGTAGAGGTGGAAGCTCTTTAAGTACAGAGAAGCCCTTAAAGTTTTGTAGGGCATTTGACTTGGTAACAGATAACATTTTCTTTAAGAAACTGGAGCACTACAAAATCAATGTGGCACATATTACATTGATTAAAAATGGCTAACTAGTTATTCTCAAAAATAAATTTAAATCATCAGGTGGGTGTATTCCTGATGAAGGCTTGCACAGATGAGATTTTGGCTAATTAATATTTTATCACTAACTGGGAAGGAAACATAAAATAATTACTAATAAAGTTGAAGTGAGTGGTAAAGAATGAAGAGGACAAGTCACCCTGGATCTGGATCTCTTGCTGTGCTAGATGCAAGCAAACAATATTAACAGAGTGAAATGTCAGATCAGACACCTAAGAACAAAGAGCACAAGCCAGAAAAGTGGGAAGATCCTAGCTCTATCCTAAGAAGCAGTGGCTCTGAAAAGGACTTAGGTGTTACAATAGATAATCAGCTGAACAAGAACCCTTCATAGTATGTTTTTGGTAAAAAGGCTAGGCAATTTTTGGACATATATATATATGCAAGAGAATATAGAATAGGAGGGGAAGGTTACAGTAGCTCTGTATTTGGCAATGGGGGTGTCTCCTGAGACCAGATCTTGTGTTTACGCTTCAAGAAGGACATTGAAAAATTGGAGACTATTCAGAGGAGACCCACAAGGATGATTAGATGATTAAATATACTTTCTGGTGAGAAACTAAAAAAGCTTGATTTATGCAGCTTCTGAAAGAGAAAGTTATGACTTGATCACAATATATACAGCACCTACATAGGAACCAAGGACTGCAAGGACTTTCTAGAGCAGAGACCAGTCCCTGTGTTTGCAGGCAACCCTTTATCAAAAATGGATACTTCTGCTCTTCTTACCTTTTATTTCATAGGGTTCTTGTGGTGTGTAACAACAGACCCAAGTAAAGAGCAGGAGAGATAAGGATACCACCCT